GATAAATCAAAGTGTCAACGCTCATGTATTACATAAATTTTACACGTAGAGTGTGATTAAACGAAAATTGAAATGAGTTGGAAAAGTCATCAAATAGGACACGTGTCAACACCTGGCAGAAACGACTTATTTCATCTGGGATATTATATTCAAAATTAGGCCTTGGAAAATTCTATAAATACAAGCCCATTTCATTCATTTTAAAAGACCAATTCATATTACACCTTGAAGCTTTGAAGCTCTGAAACTCCGAAGCTCTCAAGCATCCAGGTTCCCGAAGAATCAAGAAAGCTCTCTTCGTTCTTCGTTCATCGTTCATCCAAGATCAAGCCCCAACGGCCCTTTGGATCAACAATCATCCACCAATTCAAGATCAAGCCCCGACGGCCCTTGAAGAAAGCACCATCGTTCATCATCCGTTCATCCAAGATCAAGCCCCAACGACCCTTTGGATCAACAACGTCGACAAATCCACACACATCCAACCGTTCTTCAAGATTAAGCCCAAAAGCCCTTGAAGATCTGTTCATCACTGTTTCTTCAAGATCAAGCCCAAAAGCCCTTGAAGATCTGCTCATCACCGTTATTCAAGATCAAGCCTCAAACGGCCCTTGAAGAAACATTCATCCTCAAAATCAAGCCCCAACGGCTCCTTGAAGATCCGCTCAAATCCACCTCCAAAGATCAAGCCCACGGCCATTTGAAGAAACTTCCAACAGTTCATCCAAGATCAAGCCTTGACGGCCCTTGGATCAACGAAATATCCACCAATCAACACCTTACGGAGATCGAATCAGAGGATCAAAATAGAGAGAGATTGTAACCCAAAATCATCAAATACAAATATTTGTTTGTGCGCGTTGTTCTTGTCTCTTTCGTTTCAGGAATTTTCCGTGTTCACAATCATACTTCTTTCTATGCGAAGTTTCATGCTTAATCCTTGTTGTGGAGTTGGCTTATGCACGGGATTCGACAATTTTATGGCTAGAAAGTGACTCTTTTAGTGTGATATCTTTCTTTGCTTTTGGTTCTTTTTCTCCTCCTTTGGTACTCCAGACCCATTGGAAAAACAGTATATCCCAGTTGCAGCACATGGTTTTCCATTGCTCTCATACATTTTGAGAAGGGAATGCAGTTGCTGACAAATTACCTAATTTAGGGCTTCTCTTGCCTTTACTTGTTTGGCATGACACTCATTCGAAGGGATCTTCCTTTCCGAATTTAAATTTCTTCAACATGTCGGCCTAAAGGTTTCTTTCCCCTTCTTGATGTATGATTTTCTTTTTACCTAATCCTTTTGGATTTTCATTTTGTTTTGTAGCTTATCTTGCATGGTCTTACCTTTAAGGTTTTATTTTAGAGGGGTTTGGTCCTTGTCCCCCTCCCATTTTTTTCTTGTATTCATTTTTAAGAGGGGTAAAGTTTATGTCCCCTTTTCAAGAAAGGCAAGGTTTATGTCCCCCCTAATTAGGTGTAACTTTTTTTTTTTGTATGAGTAAAATTTTCTTACCCTTGTTAAAAAACTATAGTTCAAGTAAATATACATATGTATTTAGGGCTTTTTAGCTAAAATAGTCCATGAGATTTGCACAACTCCTCACTTTGGTCCTTGATATTTGAAATCAATAGAAGTGGTCTCTGAGATTGTCCACCATCAATCATTTTGGTCCTTAGGTGAAAAATTATGTTAAGTAAGGACCAAAATGATAAAATTACCCTCAATTTAATAAATAATAGGCCAAAATAATTTGACCAAAATTGAGGGTATTTTTGTCATTTTACTCTTATTTTATGGAGATTTTTCAATTCTATCTATTTCAAATATTAGGAACCAAAATGAGAAGTTATGCAAATCTCAGGGACCATTTTGGCTAAAAAGCCTATATTTAGTTCATAAAAGTGACCACACCCCAGACTTGGCCCTAACGGCTAAAGGCAAACATGTAGTATTAATATGTAAGCTTATGAATTATTTGGAGAAATTATTTGTGAACTACTCATGATGAAAGAATGAGTTTAGTTGTTGGGAAAGAATTTTTGGGAGTTGTGTTAGGATCTTTTTGAGTTCAATTCTTTGTAGGTATCAAGTCTCAAGTCAGTTCAAAGTGCACATAGTCTTTATTGGGTAATTCAGAACTGGCGACAAAGAGTTAGGCAAAAAGATTAACAAAATATGGGCCTTGAATGTTTTGTGAAGAGAGTTAGTTCATATAATTGAGTATACTACATTGCCACTACTGTATTATACGGATTAACGGAAATATAGGTGGTGTTCAACATTGCGTTCATGCATGCATATCATTTTATATGTGCGTTTGAAGCAGGTATATGAACTAGGAAATCCAAGAAGGTAGGCAAGATGAGGTCAAATTAATTAGATAGGAGACGATAAATTTTCTTGTATCATTAGAAGAATAGGAGTTTTATTATTGCCCCCTTATTATTTCTTTGTAACTTTGTAAAGAATTCTTGGTTAATTATATAAGAGGCACGTGATGGTAGTGATGAGGACCCTGATGTGCCTCCTGGTTTTGGTTGATGAGTTCTCATGCTATTCCGTTTTCAGTGTTATTATGCAGCCATCAATTTACATAAACAATGCGGTAAATGATGGCCATGGTAACTTCCTGAGGAAGCTTATATTGAGGTGATGCAGTGGGAAGCTTTATTCGCGATTGCCTTGATAGAAGTGAAGATTAATTATTGACTCTTGGATATTTAGTGCATCGAAATGTTTAACTTCTAGATGGTTAGACCTGATGCCCTGATGTGTGAGCAACATGAAATCTGTATTCGGGTTTGGCAGATCATGAACAAGATGCCAACATTTGCTACAAAAATGTGCAGTTAAGAATTGAAACACATAGGACAATGATCAAATAATTACGGAATAGGAAGTTGATGTGGGGTGTACGTAGGTGTATGTAGAAAATATGGGATGTGAGAGTATGGAAAAGTTTATAAGGTTAATTGAAAAGTAGATACGGGGGTTAATAAAACATCCTTTTTTTTAAAGAGAATCCTTGTAGTTTTTTTCTTTCTTTATTTCGATACCAATAATAGTGTGAGAGAGGAAATCGAACCTAAGACTTTGAATATTAAGGTAAATTCTCTTAATTAAATCAAGGGCTAATCACAATTTACACCCTTAAGGTTTGAGGTGATTTTTAAAATGGGCCATGAGGTTTTAATTTTCTCAACTTGTCCCCTAAGATTTTAAAATTATATCAATATACAACTTTTGTATATTTGAATGTCTAATTATTCATTAAAATGATGATTTTTTTTTGTCAATATGGTGTAAATGGCTTACATATCAACCACTTACAAGTTTCATGCTCACCATGTTATCAATTTAATGAAAATCTAAATAATTCCATAGACAAAAGGTGTAAATTGCCACAATTTCACAACCATGAGAAGCAATATGAGAAAATTGGAATTTCGTGGCCCAATTTGAAAATCACCCAAACGTAGAGAGGGTACGGGGGATGTATTCAATTGAGAATGTGAGAGATTTTAATTGATTTATAAATCCGTGGATTTTTATGGAGTTTAATTGATTTGTAGAGATTCCATATAAAATTTTGATTCAATTCCCTCGAAATCTCATGGGAAGAGATGAGATTTGTGGATGCTTAAAATACACTACGAAATCTCTCCAATTCTCTCTAATTCTCTCTAATTCCTCAACTTTTTCAAATTCTTTAAAATCAATTTCTAATTGAATACACCTGGAATGTTATAAACTTCTTTAAAATCTTAATTGAATACCGCTGGATTTCTAAGGATTTTAATAAACTATCTTAAAATTCTAATTGAATACATCTAGAATTTCAGAGAATCACTTAAAATCCTAATTGAATACCCCTAGATTCATTAAAAGAATTAAAATCTCTTAAAATCCCAATTGAATACACCCCCCATAGTTGGCCCTTATTTTAACTACAAACCCAAGAATCATATAGTTTATAATCAATCTATATAGAAATGCTTTGATACCATGTAAATATATGACTCCGCACTAGTAAAAAAAACACTTTGCGCGACGTACGTACATTCGTCGCGCAAAGTCAAAATTCGTTGCGCAAGGGTTTGCGCGACGCAACCTTCGTCGCGCGCTAACCGTCGCGCCATGGCAGTGACGCTTGGGTTTGCGCGACGAAGAAATAACGTGCGTCGCGCAAAGTGACTTTGCGCGAAGCACACCTACGTCGTGCAAAGTCACTTTGCGCGACACGCATCCTACGTCGTGCAAAGATACTTTGCGCGACGCACATCCCTAGGGCGTGCGTCGTGCAAACCCTTTTTTTTATTTAGTGAAAAATAAACGGGAAAGCGTTCTTTATTTGGCGCCAAGATCTTGCGCGACGCACAAAGTTGTCAAAAAAACGGGAAAGCTGTCAAAAAAAAGGGAAAGCGTTCTTTATTTGGCGCCAAGATCTTGCGCGACGCACAAAACGTCGCGCAAAGGATGTTTGCGCGACGGACAAACTTCTGCGTCGCGCAAACCTGTTTTGTGCGACGTCATCTTTCGTCGCGCAAAGTTTCGTCGCGCAAAAGTCCTTTGCGCGACGTTTTGTGTTTAGGGTCGCGCAAACATACTTTGAGCGACGAAATTTGCTGCGTCGCGCAAGATTCCGTCGCGCAAACATGTTTTTCTACTAGTGCCGTTAACATACAACGTCTACAGATCATTCCGAATTAACTGCCTTGAATCTAACAAACAATCAATAGCACAAATTAGCTAGTGAGGCAGATGCTCTAGGGACTTCAAGGCATGGACCCTAATTGAAAATGAAACCTACTGAGATCAGATTGAACAGAATTTTGCCAAACTAATTGAAATATTCTTGAATTTGTGATTGGGAAGAAAAGAAAAACGATAAAACTGAACTAAAGAGAAGACATTGTTCATCTTCCCTAACTAATTGAATTAACAGAACAGCTCTAAAAAGAATAATAATATAATCAATATAAACCCGCATGCACTTGATAAATTAGCATAGCAAAACCAGTCAATAAATCCACTGGCCACCGCCTAGTCAATTAAGATATATATAGCACAAAACTCCATAATAATATTGATGAGTGCAATTTCTTTTACAAAAGCAAGCAAGCACATTACTTGGATATTTCTATAAATATATATACGGAAATTATGTAAACTGAATGAATGAATACTTAATTATAATTTCAGATGTGGGTGTAAATTTGCATCTGACTCAAGATATGTTCAAAATTATCAGATGGCTTGTCGATGGGATGGGTGTGCATTCCTTCGTAAGTAGTCACCACAATGCCTTCGTCCTTGTTTAGGCGTTGGACTTGTTTTTTAACATTGCACCCTTGATACGTGCATCGGTAGTAGCTTCTGCAGATTAATTAGCAAGATCCAGTATTGTTATTTCATATATATTCAGGACATATCATACAATTAATACAAAGCAAGCATACCTGCATGCAGGCATATGTGTAATCACATGATTCAAAAGATAAATATCAGTTGGAAAATGCATTATTCTTTCGGCATTGAAAATTTGAAATGATCGATCACGTTGCACTGGTTCTGATTATTGATGATCTTACACTGCTACCTGGTGCAGTTCCCAGACGATAGAACTGGAGCAAATCTATCAACTAATAGATTGAATATGTAACACCCTTTTGTGTAGCTTGTAGTTCTAGCATATAGTCATGGGTCACGGCATGTACGTCTCAAATATATTACAATTTACCCACAAGTTGTTTGTTCCGCATCAAAAGGTAAACTAACATTTACATAATTGTTAGGAAAACTTTTGTACGGATCAAAACTTTTTGCTCCCAGTTAATTAGCTAGAGAAAACCCTAGCTAGAACTCAAAACAATGAAAAACAAATTAAACACTAAACAATTTGTTGAATAATGATCCCACATCGAAAATCTTAATAAATTTTAGGAGAAATTAGGATGCAATCCCCAACCACCAATATCCTTTGATTGAAATCCTATTGATTTTAAATTTTTGACCAAAGTCCTTCTACTTTATACACATCAACATATTTACATTTAAAACTTTATGCCACCCATAAATGTAATTAATTAATTTCTTTTCAAAATTTCATAAGATTATTGAGAACTAATCCATTCCTACATATTAGGCAAAACATAATATGTTTTGGTACATAGCTTTTTATTTCGTTTATATCTTAGTTTGAATTCAAGTTGCAATCTCGCTTAACTTCGGAGTTCGTACGGAACCCGAAGCCAGTGAACTTCTAAAAGGTCTCATGCTAGGTAAATATGAGAATATACATATAAGGCTTAGAGGATCCACTCCCTTGAGCGATGTGGGATGTTACACATAATCATGTTATGGTTTTTCTAGACTTGTTACATATACAATTTTTATAACGTGTATATTTGAGTTCCACATTACAATTGGTACATTCTTTCTCACAATTCCTTTGTTGGGGTACAAGTACAGTGGGTATATATAAATTTGAGATAATATTATAGATGGGTACAAAGATGAACACAAAAGGCAGGTTTAATTTGCACTTTGTGGGTAGAAAGACAAGAAAATTTTGGTTCATGGGTACAAAGATTGAAACATAAACAATTGTACTGCAAATATAATACAATTAACGGTGTTATGACTTTGTACTTTGCAACTTTTGGATTGCTTGGGTGATTTTACAGAAGAAAATTGTGTGTGGGTTCTCGTTGGCTAGGTTGTATTCACCAGTAAGCAGTGCAGATTATTTCAAATCTGAAAATCAAATTAAACTAATATTTGGTGTGCCTGATATCACTGATATGTGATATAAATTTGGGATAATTTGGAGGTTAATTAGATTGGATAATTTGGAGGTCTCAGTGGAAAGGTTAGTAATTTAAGGTGCATATATGTTTATCATTAAGGTGAGCTAGTAGAATGTAATTTATCACAATGTAATAAATGGAGGACTTGAATCAAAGTTTTTAAACTAATAAGATATGAGTCTATAATATATGATCAAAAGGGACCGGAAACTAAGTGTCCCAAGCTAAAGTAAATAAAGGAGAGATCCCCCAATTTTCCTTCGCCTAATGCCTGATACACTTCTTAGTGGAAAATCGAGTTAGGATCTTGCTTTATTGGTGGAATCTACTAGCTTGTACTAATGTATTCGCAAAAACAAAACAAATCTGAAACACAAGCATCAAAATCACATAAAGAAAATCAAATGAAACACAAGCACCAAGGCATGGTATGCACCGAGTTTTCGAGATGTCTTATTATTTTGGACCATTTGACTGAATAAAAATAAATAAAGGATTTTAGCTTTTCATTGCCCCGATTCATGTCATACACCAAAGTAAGATAGATTTTTCAACAATCATATAGAAAGATGAAAGAAACAAAAATATAATGAAGGTATAGCTATATGTATATACCTGGGAAACTTGTTGGCTTTCACAGCTTTTTGACCGTATTTTCTCCACCGATAGCCATCGTCAAGTACATCGACCTGACTTCTTGTTTGAAAAGCATATTTTGGCTTCTTCATCTTCTTCTCCCCCTTCTTCTTTTTCTCTGAATAATTATTATTGGCCCGATGAGGATCGACGCTGCTCTGATCACCTCCAACAACAATATTATTCATGCTTGCATTTGCACTCGGATAATACTGCTGATAATATTGTTGGTACGGATGACCATCTTTATGAACTAATACTTCACCTGACGATGATCCAACGTTGTCTTCCGTTTTCGTCGTCGAACTCAAGCGCAACAACCCATCTGAAGTTTGATCAACACGCCCATCAAAGTTATTCGTGTAAACGTGAGAGCTTCCCATATGATGATGATCTGTATTTGTGGAGTTAGGGTTTGGATAATTAGCTGATGAGGAGCAAGGAAAGAACATTTGATACTTCTCCATGATGGGTATCTAGGGTTGATGTAGCTAGCCAAAATAGAAGCAGTATATAAAGCTAGCTAGAGGCGGCTAGCCTATGGCCAACAACTTTGTAAGTTGAAAATATATGATTTGAATGTATGGTCCAATATCCTAGTGGATAAAGTGTTGGGTTTCTATACATGCGTTTCAGGTTCGAAACTCTCCCTCTCCTAAACACATATATACAAAGTTGTAAATATATGATTTGAATACATGTAGTCCAATATCTTAATAAATAGAGTGTTGAGTTTCTATACATGCATTCCAAGTTGGAAACTCACATCTCCTAAATCATATATACAGCGGATATAAAATAATAAATTAATGCTAAATAATTCAAAAATCATGGGTGATATGATATGTGAGAACTGAGACATGTCGTAAGGGGCACGAAAATTGTCCAAGTTAGTAAACGATAATTAGAGCTTCATCATCGGATGTGATTAGAAAAAGACGAGTGATGATGGTCGTTAGAAGGAGCTAGCTAGCAGTGAGGCAGCTGTTGATTCTTTGTTGGAATAATGGTGGCGGCTTCATCATTACCATTACCATTACGACTACGACATTACTTCTTTACTTTTTATTAGTTATTTATTTTGGATAAATGAATGGCAGAGTTTGGAGTGAAATAATATCGGATTATAAGAGAATAACTGTCATGATACTAGTGTATTGTCAATCACATATCAATAATATAACATCATATGTAAATTTTTTATATAATGTTGTCTAATTAGCAAATAATTAATTATTATAAGAGGTATAATAGTGTCATAAATGTTGCTCTCTTGTTTTAGTGTTCAAAGTAGAAACACACACGTAAATGAGAGTTCTACAAATTTGGCAGTGATGCATGCTCGGTTCCCTGTGCTTGGTAATATAAATAATATGCAGGTATATGTTCACACAATTCTCAATTGGTACAAGTCAAAACGTAGACTAAGAGCAGTTGCCTTTGGAATGGAGACTAGCTATATACAGAGTAATATACATATATATATATAGACATCGCACATGTGTTGAATTTTGCAGTAGTTGGACCATATGTCGCGCGTCCAATGCGGACTCTGTTTAATAATAATAATAGTATCTTTACTTAATTAACTTTGATCAAACCATGAAATTAATTTTACGGCTAGGTTCTTGGTTTTGTAGTGCATTATATATATATATATATATATATATATATATATATATATATATATATATATATATATTTGTCTGCAAATTGTTTGCAAACACAAACAGACACCCTACCCGTGGTTTCCACGAAATGCTAGCTTAGCATAAATATGTAAAAAGTTGTTCACTATAACCTTTCATATCATGCACCATTCAATTTTTTTTTTATCATGTGCATTTTAAGAACAAACACCTATATTTTAAAGGAAAACTAATAAAAATGTCTTGAAAACTTTGAGTTTTAATTATAAGGATAAAATAAAGGATAAAGTGAATAGTACCATGATTGACTTTTTAGTGTAAAAATGTGGTTTTTCGTTAAAATGAATAGTATCAGACTTTTTGTTAAAACTCCCATATTTTAATGGTAGCCAGCATCCCGATCTTCTGGAAGGAGATTTTCATTATCTTTTTTTTGTTCAAAAAATATTTTCATTACTTGTACTTATGTATATCCGCACATGTACAAGGTGAGTCCCTAAAAAATTGATGATATATCATATATGCATTTGTGTGCGTATAAAGATTAAACATTTGAGGCATAAGTATATTACCAAATGACAATTATGAGGACATTTTTTAAGATGTTTAATAGAATTTTTTTAATTTGTATTTCTTAATTACAGGGATATTAGTATATCAATTAATCTTAAATTGAAAAGGATTTGAATCCGGATTGAAGAGTTAAGACTTTTATTCACCAAAATAACCCACCACTTGCTTTACATCCTTGATATTTAAGAGACTAAACAAAAACTCAAACACACAGACCAAAAATACAAAACAAAAACAGTAAACTCGTTTAGGCATTCACCAGGAAATCGAAAGCTGATTAGTTTGGTCTTAAGACAAATTCCGAAAAACAAAGACATGTGTTTGAATTTGGAAAAAGAGGTTCACGTGATTGGGACTTTCCCCGCAGCCCTCCATGATTATCAATTTGAAAAGCAAACTAAAAGTTTTGGATTTTTTTCAAAAGATGTTGAACCCTCAAGTAGTCAAATTCCACACGTTATGTGCAAACTTGCAATCATGCACACGAGCCCCTGTGCTTGATTTTTCTTCTTCCGGATTTCAACACATATTTTCCTTCTTTTTTTTTCCATATTTTTGTTTTAATATTTACTGAACCTATCAATTTTCCGGCATTTGAAAGCAGTGGTGGATCTAAAAAATTTAGAGGTGTCAATAAAAATAGTGCACGTATTAGAATAGTGCACGTATTATGTAATTTTTTTTTTTGGCCGGATAACATCTAAATTGACATTTTATTGAGCCGTGATATGCCTGAGGTCATTTACCAAGTCATATTGCACGCCTACTGGCTAACACCAACTTCCAAGCAAGCATGTCAATTCATGTGAATAACTTTTGAAAGAACATGTCGACATATGGTGAGTGAGCCTATCGAAAGATGCCCATAGCAACACATACAAAGGCATGAGGCTAGCAGCTCTTCCATGGAGAATTTCTAAGCTTGGGGGAGTCAGCTGACTCACCTTGCCCCAAGGTGGATCCGCATTGTTTGAAAGATCATGTTTGTTGGGCCGACTCTGAGAATTTGGAGGCCCTAGGCGAATCTTCGAATTGGAGCCCTAAAATTATCTAATCTTTGATTCTTTGTATATTTATTTGTATAAAAAAGAATTCGCTAAATGCATAACAAGTTTTATTTTCACATTAAATATCATTAAAAATTAATATCAAAAGAAGATAAATATACAAACATTATTTAAACATTACACAATTCACCTTTTTAGACACAAATGTACTGAATGTTTGCAGTTAAGAGTCTAAAATTGAGAGTGAAGAACAATAAAACTTGATGATCAAGAGAGTAAATAACAATAAAACTTGATTGACGAGTATAATAAATTCAACGCCAATTGTTTATTCTTCTAAAAACAACATCACACTAACGAATTGAATATTAAAATAATCCATTGAATAAAAAGTTATTGAAAAGAAAAATGTAAATCCAAAGTTTTGATTACCTTAAAGTACAATCTTTAAGACCATATGATAGTTGATTTAAACATTCAATAGAAATGGAGAGAATGAGAAGTTGGTTTAAACATTCAATAGAAATGGAGAGAATGAGAAGTTGAAAGAAAAAAGATTGCAAAGAGACTTGAGTTTTATAACTTTATATGCATTTGGACAAATGGATTGAGAGTTAGACAGATAGATTGGCAATAAATTTGAAAAACAAGAAAAATCTAGTGACTACATTTTCACTGCACTAACAAATGAATTATGATATTTCTTACTTTTTTTTTTGTATTTATATGTTAATTACAAGATATAAAAATTTTTTGGGGCCCTTTCGAAGTGGGGGCCCTAGGCGGACGCCTACTTGGGCTACCCTCAGGACCGGCCCTATTTGTTGTAGTGGTAGATTGCCTTGGTAGATAAAAACTTTCACTTCAACTCATTGCATCCCGGATCCAAACTCTCTTTCTCTCCATAATTTAAATGAATTTAGTGTACATAATTTATTGTTTGTAATTCTAATGAATAGAGAACATATAATACTAATGAATCTGATAATATTTTATTGACAGTTCAAACTTTCGGCAAGAACTACTCCTACAACATGACGAACAAAATATATACTAATGATTCGATGTCTTTGATTCGTCATATTTTGATATTATCGACCGATTTGTGCATATATGCAAAAATCTTTCTCATTATTATAATAGATTTTAGAGAAAAAAAGAGTTTATATTGAATAAAATATATACTTCAACTTTCTTGTGTTAAAACTTCAGCTTGTAAACACAAAAGTACTGTACGAACTTTTTTGAAAATATTAAGTTATAAATTATTGGACGAATTCTTTACGGAAGCCATTTGAACTTTGATTATTCGAATTGGCAAATGGTTTAACGAACGACGGACCGTAATATACCAGAAAGGCAGTTGAAAATTCAACAACCAGTGACAAAAATGTAGGCACTCTAATCATTTCCAACATAGACAAAGGGAAAATGCAGGCATCTACTTTCCAGTTTCCATCCAAGTTTGAAAATGGGTCACTTTAAACTCATTGCTTCGTGTCTTCAAGCGTCGAGATAACCAGATGACGGAATCTTATCCGAACATTTAACTCGGCAGCTCTGCTCACAGCTTTAAATCGTTGCTTACACATTTCCATCACAGATCATGAAACCAGGGCGAAAGCAGTCATATTTGACATCTTGAGCCTCAGCAAGCTTCGCCCACCATTTCTTTGTAATGCGATCGATTTAAATTTTGTGATTCGTAAAGGAACGGAATTTGACAATACTGTTTCTGGAATGTGGATTGTAAGGTGCTTATTCCAATTACCTCACTTGAATGAATGCATGAGCAGTGACGCAGCACGAGCGTATAAGGATTACAAATGTAAATTATGAAGAACAAAGGTTTCTGAAATCCAACAGAGATTGGGATAAAACCAATGGTTGTTTTGATTATTTCTGAATTGGTGTCTTATCTAGGGAGCAAATGACTTAAATAGAATTAAACACAGCCGCGGAAAGGCTAAGAGCCTTTGGAAATTAAAAAGATATTAATCGGACGACAAACGAAAAGTCTGATTTTTATTACTGAATTTAAAATACAGTTTTGGAAGCCAAAACAACTTCAGATGACTAAAATTCATTATAGTTCATGGCAAAGCAGTGAGTTTAAATCGGGATATTGTGCTCTTTTCAGAAAAGTACTATATGCTAAAATGGAGCTTGGACACCAGATCAGCAAAAATCTGATGCATCTGGTTGTCTCTTCAATTTTAAAGAGCTTCCTTGTTTTACTTTTCCTCGTAAAAATCCACTCCAATCCTGTCCTAAATCAGTCACCTTCACTGATAAAGAAGTTGCCCTCGGGCTCATCTTACAAAGAACTAGGGTTGACATGAACCTTGATGAGTAGACATATACTTCAACCCGACGAACCCAATATTCTTGGTGTTCAGTTGGTATCACAAAAGATCTAATACCATACAAAAGATTAGAATATCCAACTTGATAATCTAGCCTCTTCATGCATTCCATATTTACTTGTTTCCCCAATCTTGCAGTTTAATTCCACATCGACTTTATCACCGACAACCATGTCAAACTTAACATTTTCAGATTAAACAATACCTTGATTTTCATGGATGTATTCTTGTGGGATTTCAACTCGCAGGATCTCGTCTTCCTCAATCTTGTTCTCCTTTCTCATAATCTCCTCAACTTGAGAAGAACTTGACCGCGACTTCTCTTGTATTAAAGACACCTCCACATTGGTCTTTTGAGGTACATCTTTTATTTTGTTTTCGTTCGTAATCACTTGTGGAGTTTCTCCTTTGTGAATATATTTTTCAACTTTGATAGGGTTGTCAACTGGTTCAACAACTTCCTTTTTTTCCATTTGCCCAACATGCCGTATCAATTATTTTCTTAAGAGCTTCTGAAATTTTCTTTGTTTGCTCTATCAATTTTTCACAATCCAATTGATTCAAAAATCCAGCAGTAGAGTCAAAAGCCAATTTATCAAATTTGATTGTACGATCATCAACACCATCAACTATAAAGCCATATGAAGGAAAATACCATTCGACAAGAACTCTTTTCATCTTTCGCCATGTTTTGATCTTCAACTTGCCTTGTCTTTCTCAGGGTTCTTGTAGATGATTCCACCAGGAAGCTACACTTTTAGATAGTCTAGATGAAGCCCTCTTTACCATCTTCTTTTTTGGAACTTTCTTGATCTCAAAGTAATGCCCGATTTCATCTACCCAATCTTTAAAATTTCAACATACAAACTTCCTCCAAAGTAAGGAGTATCTTCAATATCTTCAAAGTTATATTGATGTGGTTGGCCACGGGGAATCCCACAACATTCCTCTTCAATATTTGGTACTGTCGTATGAATGTTGCCGAGGACTTCGCTACTCCCATGATCGATTGTCATTAGAACAATCAAATTCCTGCTCCGATACCAATTGACGCATTACAAGTATAGTAAAAGGAATACAAGCACAAACCCAAAAAAATCGGAAAGCTGGAATCCACTAGAATAGAGATAAAATCTCAAAGGTTATGACTTAAATAGAATTAAACACAAACTTGGAAAGGCTAAGAGTCTTTGGAAACTAAAAACAAAACATTAATCGGGCGACAAAAGAAAAGTCTGATTTTTATTACATAATTTAAAATGAATTTTGGAAGCCTAAATGATCTTGGATGACTAAAATCCATCATAGGTTACATCAAAGCAGTGTGTTGGAACCGGAACGTCGTGTTAGTCATACTAAACATATTGTCCACGTGTTCTTCTCTTACTGGTTGTAGTTAATTTTTGTCTCCACAATAAACATGAAGTTCCAGAAATTAGCCACAAAGTGTTTTGAGGAGAAATTCATTCACAACAACTTTGAAGCCAAGTATCGTTCATAAGCAGAGATGTGAACGATGAGGTTGTTAAACAATGGTAAACATACATGTGTTTAAGAAAAGTAACTATAGCATTGTGCTTTTTTAGTACGATCGTCACACCTTAATATCTTATTATTTATTCACTCATGTTATAATACGTGGATTATTTATTAATACTATATCTTATTTTTTTAGTGTGAATGATAACATTGAAAATTTTATCCTTTTCACCAAGAATTTCACGTATTTTTGTAAAAATAGTTTATTCTATTATGTTTATATAACAATTGTCGTTTATAAGTATGAATGTCAGTAAATCAAATGGTGCTTCAGTCACAATCAAGAGAAATTTACGCATGAATTGTTGCTGCTTTGTACTAATGCTATCGTTTGACAGAAGCCCTTCTAATTCTAGGTCAACTGGGTCCAAAGGTCAAGGCCCTCTTCAGCAAGCCTTCAGAAAAAAGTTTGAGTGCAACTTCCATTCATCCTACGACTGCTTGAAGCCCAGTTCGGTCACCCCTGTCAATCAACACCACGAACTTACCACTACAAAATCCCACTTCGCCACGCGTCTATCTTTGATCAGAAACTTGTATTTATTGTGCATGTCGAAAAAGAAGTAGCCACCAACAAAACATTAGGTAATACGACCAAAATTATAAACAATGATTAAGTTGATGGTTCATGTTGTTACCTATTGGTTAGGTAATGTTCCCTTCATTCAATGATATATTTATACGAAAGAATTTGAGAAATAAATTGGTTACGGATTTATCATTTTTAAAATAAATTTCAAATTTCTCAAATATTGACTCATTTATCTATGAATATTAGGTACGTACCTTACATTTATTGGTACGGTACTATTAGGGTTTTCACCCCTTCAGTTGATAATGTTTATTTGACGATTTATCATTAACAAACATACACCATGGACAATATGTTTTTAGAGAAACAATTGCCGAAAATTTAATTATGAAGAAATAGTTTTAGATGAAGTAGTAGTTTTAAATAATTTGTGAATAAATAGTTAACGGTGCCATCAAACTTTAACTTAATTAAAATGCTATCACAACACCCCAAATTCGTTGTATTCTTGATACTGCTATGGCTCCATTGTTTTTGTCCTTGTTATTAACAAAAGTTTATTTGGTGCTTTTCATTAAAGGTTTTTCTTTTTAACTCCACAAGAAGTTAACTAGCCAAACATCAACAGCAGCACGGAACAAGTTCTCAAGTTTATATATCATGTAAACTGAAAATTATGCTTTCTTTCCACCTATAATGAAGAGTAATGTTAGATGGCTAAATGTGTAGATTAAATATCATAAACTAAATAACATGGTTAATGATTAGATTATTATTTAAGTATTAATTAACGTATTTATGTTTTATTAATGATGCATCATTTAGTTTGTAAATTTAATCTACCAATTTAGTCTAGCTATCATTAACTTTAAAATGAAACATGATAGCTCCTGTTCCAGTAAACGGTTTCTTACCAACTGACGTTGCACACAATTGCAGCCAGTGCCATCATGTCACCATCTGTACGGGTCTCTCACAGGGTCGGACTTTAACCCGACATTTACTCAAGTATCCAGCGTTACGATTTGGTTCGCATACACTAAGCATTAAGCAGCGCTCATATTTAATCCATCGTCTTCATCGATGCAGCGAGAAGACGAGACTGACCGAGCCCGCCTCCAACAATGTAACTCGCTCGCTTTTCACGTGTTCTTATTACATACACACCATCCTTTTTTAATTAATATTAATTATGTATACAAGGGTGTCAGCACAGCAGCTTGATCCTAGCTTGATTATATCAGCCAACAAATGGGGAGTCCTCCTGCGAAGAAAGTCCTGATCACCTCCAATGGCAACGAGATTTCACAGAGCATCGCCTTCTCTCTGGCCCAACGCGGCTGCAGGTGATTAAACCTCAATGGGTTGAATCAAATGGGTGAGATTTCTTCTGTTCTGCGTATTAAAGATTTGATTTTTGTTTGTGGTTTTGAATAAGCAGGTTGGTGTTAATGGGAAAAGAGAGCTTCCTGCGGGGTATTGTGCAGAAAATAACGGCCTCACTGGAGTGTGCGGTGGCGCCGGTGGAGATGGTGGACGTGGACATGGAGGACGAGAGGGAGGGAGCTTTTGATGAGGCGGTGGAGAAGGCATGCAACATCCTGGGTAATTTGGATGCCTTTGTGCATTGCTATAGTTACGAAGGTCTATAAGTAAAGTTGACTAATTTAATCTAATTTCTTCGCTCGGAGATGATTTGAAAGATTGTTTTACTTTTAAGTGCATTGAATCTAGCGATTTAGCAGGTTATCCAATCCAAATCAATAATGTGTGCCAAACGAGGTGAGGAGTAATACTTGGCACTCGATTCCTGTAAAGTTCTAATAAGAAGTTGTCACGATTTTGCATTGTTTGGAAGTACTATTATTATAAAATATAGAGAATTATTATTGACACTCCAAAAATCTTATTTTACACTTCAACATTTCTATTTAAAAAATAAAATGTGAGGAGGAGGGACTAGTATTCTCTCCCCTCCTCTTTCCATTCTCTTTCATCCCCTCCTCTCACATTCTCTATTTTGTCTTTTTTTTTTATAAAAAATTAATATAAAATGTTGATGTGATTTAACCGTGACCGTTCAAATAAGAGGGGAGGAAAGGAGAGGGAAAAAAAGAGGGGAGATAATCTACTCCGAGAAGGAGTGTAGAATGGAATTTTAGAATGCTAATAACAATTCCCAAAATAAAAGTATATACAATGAATAAAAGAAAACAGGGGAAAAACTTGGATTAGAAAATTGTATTAAGTGAACAAATTTTTTCTTGGAAATATGTTGATCCCGTGTTAAAACATGTTTTAACAAATTATTTTACATTCGGACATTCTTCGGTTTTGTGCATATATGTAAAGTTTGGTGCAGTAATTTTTTTTTTTTTTGGGACAATGGTTTGTTGCAGTTTAATTGAACCTAAGCATAGTGATCATTTCTGATTTTGGGAACAGGAAAAATGCAAGACCAGCTACAATTACCTGAAGGTGAATTAAAAAAGATAATGAAGATTAACTTCATCTCTGCGTGGTTTCCGTTGGCAGAAGAATGCGAGATCATAAGTCAGGTGGTTCAATCGTATTGTTCACATCGATAATTGGAGCTGAAAGAGGGATTTATCCAGGAGCTGCTGCCTATAGTGCATGTTCGGCAGGCCTTCAGCAGTTAGCTAGGGTATGTTTATTGGATTCGTTCGTGTACTTACACTCTGATCTATATTACTGCTGCTGCATATATTTTCTTAATAAGGAAGATGAACCTTTATAATATCAGTCAGGAGTCACGCCAACCATTAATATCTGTATATGAAAAACAAAAGCAACCCTTGGTTTTACGGGTTTTATGTGATTGGTTTTACATTAGGTGGCTCGTCATAACCAGCAGAAGCAAATTAATTTTCAGGGAAATACATTGAGAGTCTCATGATCATGATTGATTGTTATCACGTCTACTGGATAGAAGTAGAGAATAATAAGTCGCCACATCAATGAGGAGAAGTCTAATTGAGTTTGCTAGCATAGTCCTAAAATTTTGATCAGTCAAGAAGCTACTAGTACTTTGTAGACGGTAGGGCTTTTTAAGTACTTCGACTTCTATCTTTGTTCTAAAAAATCTCTCCGATTGCTATTTTCAGACGTCAGCCTTGGGGATTGGTGTTAGCAAGAACATATTCCTATATACATGTAATATGAACCACAGACCTCAAACACAAAACCATGTTCATAACCTTCAAACATATAGCAAGATTACTTACCTGCAGATGAATTCGAAGAACCTGCCATGACTTGTTCCTGCAGCAGATCCGAAGTGCACCTTCTCCTCTCTTCAGTAATCAATTTGCTCTTAACTAAAAATAGGTCTTAGTCCAGAAGAATAGAGCGTATGTACTGTGAGAGCAGAGGCCACTATATATACAACATAATCCTAGCCAAGTTCTATTAAGGATTCCCCTATTAAAATCCATATAGACAACCAACATAGTGTTTCAGCATAACATAGATTACAAATCCATTCTCAATAAGACTTCCTATCCAAACTTGAATCAAATAACTTAATCCACGGATTCATACTCATGCTCATATTCTAACAATTGGACAATGCCAGATCAGGGTCTATGCTATTGCCCGTGGTTTGCATCTACAAGACGAATATCCAAAGTTTGTGGGAGTGGAAAGAGCGAAGAAGCTGGTGAAGGAGGCAGCTCTATTGGGGAGATGGCTTGATGTTAAAAATGATCTGGTTTCAACTGTCATATATTGGTCACGGTACATGACAGGCACAACAATATTTGTGGATGGGGCAATGTCTCTGACAAGACCTCGGATGCGTTCTTTTATGTGATTCTTCTACCCCATTTTCCTAGCCATTAGTTGATTTTAGGTCTGCTTGATGTAGGACAAGATGAGGAAAAATAAAGAAAAGGAAGCGCTTTAAATTTGACAAGATAAAAGAACGCAGTGAGAATTTCTAGATCTAGCGTCTGAGCTCTCTTTTGGATGCATAATATCTTTCTGATGTATTATTAGGATTTTATAGCTAAAGCAATCCTGATACGATTAGTAAACCTAATTAGATATGAATCTAAAGTTTAGGTGATAAAGTCTTGTTCAAGTAGAATTACATGATGGGAGGTTCCCTACTTAGATTTCACCTCTTTTACTATATAACAGGTCCCTGCTCTCACACTCGACACATGGAAATAATCCTTCTAGCCCCATTGAATAGAGTTGTGATAAGGTGAGTGAAAGAGAGTAGAAGATCATTTGTTTTGCTATGGAGTTGTCACGATACAAGGAGAGATGCAAACACTCAGAAGATTGCTCAACAGAGGTTCTAATCCCAGATAAGTGTTTTAAGTTGATTATGAATTTCCTTCTTACAATTACGTAACTGTCTTTTTGGTCAGATAGTCAGGTAACTAATTTATGATTTTTTTGGTGGTGCAGATTCTACATGTTTCTGAGGCAGAAGTTAAAGAGATCGAAATGATGGAACATGCTCTCATAATTATTGTAACGGTAGGATTTTTTTCGATTTTGTTTTCTATTTGCGATTTGTTTTGCAGATGTTGATATAATGATATCCATTTTTGATGAATTTAACAGTTCCAAACGCAGCAAGTGTACTGTGTACGAGATAGAAATCGTGATGTAACAGATGGTGGTAAGTTAAATATTACTACACACACACCCCTACACAAGTTATATAAAATGTGTTATATTCCCCATTCACACCATTGTTCTCTACGAAAACATGTGCTACAGTAGTATCGGGTCGTTATATTGTTTATCAGAGTTTTTATATGTACGAACTCTCATGTTTTGTTAAATCGTATTGTTTCATCAGGACACAATCCACACGGTGTATATTATGCCTAGGCCATGCAACAGGTGGATCCAGAAGAACCTGGCGAAGATGCTAATCATCCAATTTGGAAAGTAAGAGAGATGCAGCAATTGGAGTTCCAGCCCTCATTTAGTGCAAGCTTTCTTCATGGATGTTGTAACCTCCAATTTTAGATATGACTGTCAAACTGCTTAGCTTTTCAAATCCGTTCAACGTGGTTTCTCGAATCAAACCTGCTTTTTTGCCATCTATTCAGTAACCTACTTGTGTTTTTCTTTCATGACAAACGCGTAGACTTCCTCCAATCCCGTAGTATAAAACTGCACAAGACGAATCCACAATCCAAATTAAGCTGAACGAATCTAATAGCTTAGAAAAAATAAAAAGCCATTATAACACTCTTCGTAAGAATCGCAACCCTCCAGGCATCCACTAGCCATCTCTTGCTTGAGACTGAGGCTTCCACCATGCAGCCAGAAGGACTTGGAAGAACTTCACTTCCAAACAACAAAGCAAACTCGACAAACCTAAAGGCATCACCAAATCTCGAAAAAGCCATGTCAAAGCCATCACTTCTGCTGCTTTTTCATCTTCTGCCTTTGCTTTTGTTGGACTAAAACCCTACAAGTTTCTCCAACTACGTTTCAAATGAAGAGGGCGTCTCGCCCTACATTTCCTCTACAACGGCGGTAGCACTGCACATATCTACGTTGACAATCTTTTTAAAGAGCCTGTTGGGATTGAGCTGGTGGAGAGTTCTCAGCCTCAGGTGGCGAAGTGCAAGCAAGCTTGCTGCTGCTGCCGGTGCTGAAGGTGGGGCGGAGAGAGGTTGCTCTACGGTGGTTGATGATATGTGGGAGTCATTATAGGATTTGCTTCCCCGATGATGTATGGCAATGATGAGAGAGCATGCAGAGTTCATACCTAAGTTCAGAAAGGAAATGGAGGTTGAGGAGAAGTTGGCACGTGAGCGTTTGTAGCATAATTTTTTTTTTTTTTAAATTGTGGATTAAGAAAGCTACATTATGCATATTGAGTGTGATTATTCTGAAAAATAATTTGTTTCGCATGAATTTCTGTTATATTTATTGGCTTCAAGGGGAAGGGAAAAAAAAAACACGAGTGAGAGGAAGAATAATAGGAAGCTTTAGCAACTTTTACATAATGGTTGCCAAGGGGGAGATTATCGGCTGTCCCCGAGGATATGATGTGATCAAGTGATGGAACACGGCGGGGATATATTCCATTGTTCCTATCTCTTTAAATTACGTAACATGATCACGTGATGAAACATATAAGAAGAGCAGAATATATCTCTAGTTGTATGCAAGAATCTAATAATGTAAACAAATATATATTCCGATTGTATGCAATCAATTTAATAGATATAGGATGATTCATCAGAAGTGTATACAGCATTTTTGCTTGTCAACAATTTACCAAATATCATCATGAGTACCTGAATTATGTTGGAAGTTCAAATCAAATACAGTGGCCGTAAGTGGTGGAACACTTTTCAGAAAGTGGTGGAACACTTTTCAGAAATTGTTGGAACACTTTTCAGAAAGTGTGAGCTACTAGCAGAGAGGTTGTGATGTTTGTTTATTAAAGATGGTAAACACCATAATTGATTGCATGTGTGTGTATTTTTTTATTAAAAACACTTGAGTGGTTTGTAACTTTTGCATGTATAATTAAGCCTCTTGTAAGGCTTTAAAAAAACCATCCGAATTCCCATTCCATTAGAATCCCATTTCCATTTCAGCTTGTAAGCAATTGAGTTTGAAAACTCTAATTAAATATATCAAAGTGTTTTGCTTGTTTGCCATGCAGTTTGTCCAACACAAAAAGTTTGCTTCTTCATTTACTTTTTTTTCTTTTCTTGTCCAATTGTATTGAGAGTGATAGTGAGAGGTGTGATAAAGTTAGAAAACTTATCACCCACATATTTTTGGTATTGAGTTAGTAAACTTCGAATACCAACAAATTCAAGGTAATGCCATGATAAAAGATGGTTTCAAATTCGCAGCATGAGTGTGAGACAAAGGTGGTCTTGACGTAAATGAAGAATAATCTGAAGAAATTAAGACATAGACATCTTGAAAGAGAAAGCTCGAGACAGAAATGACAGCGACTGAAAAACGTCTGAATAATATTCTGTTACAAATGAATGAAACTTAAACTATAAAAGAAGGAAGAGAGGCGTATATTATAGAGACAATTAGATATAAATCCAAATGCACAATGAATGATTGGGAAATTGAGATAAAACTTTGTCAACAGACTCACAACTCCATCAGCACACAGAAGAAAGATGATTACAATCTAATACTTCTTATCTTTTAGCTTGATTCATCAACACTCGCTCACTAACAAATACGCCCACACTGAAAGATAATATTACAAAGCACAATGTTGACATCCCGACACACAAAGGACGACCACTGTCTGTTTCTTACAACTGCGGTTGCTACAGCTCCAAGACCAAGTCTGCAATGCAAAATGCAAATAGTGCCAAACTGTTAAATGTATTCATAGTAGGTTCAGTTTTCCAGACCTTGAGTACATAATGTGGTGCTTATGTGGAAAAACTTGCTACGAAATGACTAGATAGATCCGAGCGAGTTTTTCTTTCATGAAATGACAATATATTCAGAAACATTGTTTTTTGGGTTAATGTATTCTGGACGTTAATGTCATATTACAGATCATTTTTATTTTTACTTGGGTTTTTCATTTCCTTTTTTGTTTGTTCCAAGTTTATGTGTGCTCCTTTCCTCAAAAATCTTTTTCTAGAAGTACAACAGTAGGATCTAGAGACTTTGAAAGAGACTGTAAGAAAAGATAAAGAGTACTTGGAGCTAACGAAAGACTTCGCACAAAAGTAAGCCAACCCCACTTTAGTGGGATAAGGCTTGGTGGTTGTTGTTGTACAATAGTAGGATATAGGCTCAGTTCATTGTGGTTTCTCTTAAAGTTTCTTTTTTCGTAACGGCTGATGGTAGATTTTGAACTTTTTCTTAGATGTTGTGCACTTTTTGTTCTCCTGGATTTTTGGTGTTCTGTACTTGATTTGCCAGAACCTGTGGGGACTAAATCAAAGTATGTCAGCAATGCATAAAAGTGATACTTACATTCTGCATCTGTTTTGATCCAGTGCCCTCCCTTTCTCCTAGAACTGCTGCCACTCTGCCTGTATTGGGGAAAGTTCATGAATTTTTTACAATTTTCAGTCCCCTCCTTTGCCATTGCCCCGTCAGGGAACCTTCCGTTGTCTCCACCCATGAGCATCATATTTTCATTACAACCACTACCTGCACTGGAATTATTCTTCTTCTCGTATTTCTCGGACTTGACCGATTCTCTAGCAGCTATAGAGCATTCAGGATGGATCCTTCTATGGAACATACGTAAGACCTGCATGTAAGACACAATAAATTTGAATGTTAAGTTTTATCTTTTTTTACTCCCAGTATAAGTGATGGCTGCACCAGGCAGTTTGGGACAAATTATTAAAAGAATGATTGTTGTCTGATGAAGACATCTAATGGAAATAATGGAAACACTACCATATATTGTTTAACTGTTCTGTGTGTGTATTTGTGTGTGTGTGTGTGTGATGAAGAGCCATCAGATGCACTGTTCTCAGAAGATCTAGCTGTAGGAACCCAACCTTATGGGGTTTCTTCTTGGTTGGAAGCGAATCAGATGCCTCACCAAGTTTCTTCTTGATGGAAACAGGATCAGTTGCATCACCACCTGTAGAAGGGGAAGATCTCCTTGAAGAAGCATGGAATTTTTTAATCATATTCTTCATGAACCCCATTGCAGATTTATGCTTATGTTTGACTTCTATCTCCTCAATCTCACTTTTCTCCTTATAATCAGTTGTGATTTTGGTCCTGTCAAACAGCTCTTGCAGTGATGCCCTTTCTTTCTTTGCCTCCATTGTTGTTTCTGGTAATTCAGTTGAGGACCCAAAGAGATATCCTTTG